CAGGCTGAATAGAGGAGACTGATAGCCCCGGTCAAGACAGGGGTTATTTTAACCCCCTCCAATCGACAATAAAAAGAAACCAATTAAACCAGCAAGAGAAAAAAATCCTTAGACTCACCCCTAGAAGTGAAGTTGCCATCACACAAAAGTGCCCTCCTCTCAGAGGATCTTTTTTATATTGATAAATCAGAGGCAGTGTTTTTTTTAGAGGTGTGCAATACAATGATCAGTTCCGCCCATTCCACCACAATTGTAGCTCCCTCGCCGGCTTTGAAGTGCCGCTGAGCCACCGCCAGCCAATCCCCGCCACCGCCGCCTCGCTCGCCGACGTGACTGCGTGAAGTCGAGCCCGGCCGTCGAGCCCCGCCGGCGCTGATGACCTCACGCACTCACGTCGGCGAGCGGCGCGAGCTGCGGTCCCGGTCCGCAGGGACCGCTCACCCCGGGCCGGGTTACTTCGTCCCGGCCACCCCTTGCCATCACCCTCCCCTTGTGCGTGATTTGACAACAGTTGGTTTTGGGGTTTTTTCCCGCGGGGCGTTTTATATTTGAATTTTTATATTATCATCATCATCTCAGTCTTACTATGGTTGTCGGCACGGACTGGCGAGAGCAGTAGCATCCCGTTTCTTGGCTAGCACCCCCCCCCCTTCCCCCCATCCCAATCTCTTCTGGTCAGCCCTTCTCCCGTTGTCCCGACGAGTGGGGGGGGGAACAGTTTAGGCCACTGCTCCCTGTCGTTCCCTCCCTTCTCGCCCTCGCCGACCGCGGTTTCAGGCGTGATTCTTGGTGGTGGGGTTGCACAAGCGGAGTCCACCCGGGCGGCACCGGCACAATCAGGGGCTGCCTTCCCGCCGCCCGTCCCCCTCGAAGGTGAGCGCTTCGCTCCCCTCGGCTCCTCGCCCGGCCCTGGGAGGCTGCGGGGAAGGGCAAAGCCCGCTCCCCCTGTTCCTGGGGGACCCCTCTCGGCCCGGCCCTGCTCGCCAAGGTGCTCTCACCCCGAGGGTTTTCCACGGCTTTGCTTAGCTTCCCAGGGGATGTTTTTCCTCTTTCTCTCGGCTTCGGTTTTGACCCGTTTCCATGTCCTGGGGATATTGACTGTACATCATATCTATTGATCAAGGGGGTAATGTACATTATCATACTTTGAAGTAAGAGTGAAGTAAATTAATGAACTGCTTTCTTTCTCTGAAAGCTGACGCTTACCATAAATGTCGCGTTTCTCTCTGCGAGCTGCTCTGAATGATCTTAGCCTGTTGAGAAGGCGTGACAGGCCAGCCCAGAAGGAGGAAGGGGTGGGGGAAGGAGGGAACTCCGTTTAACAAATAAAAAAGAATTAACTTCATTGCTTTGGTCTCATTCTATAATGATATTCATTTTACAGACCTAACGCACACTTGTTTCAATTTCGGGTTTAATTTAATCAATACTATCACCCGCAAAGAGGGGAAGAACATTTCCCCGAGATACTCTCTTGTATGAATGCTTATTAACTTTTTATCTCCACTTTCTTTATCTGCTGGAGATGGGGAGGAACTATTAAGACATAGATCAGAAAGCGTAGGAGCAAAACAAGCATCGTGAGCACTACATTTTAGAGGAACACAAAATCGCATTTTGTGGTGTGCCAGGCTAGGTAAAAAGATCGACACGCATTCCTTTCAGCCCCACAAAGTCTGAGAGACTTTGCCATACACCGGGGAAGTAGAAGCCTTCAGTGATATATCTCTTTTTAGGACAGCCTCGCCGGGTGGGTCTTCCATTCGCATCCGTATTTTGTCTGCACTTGTCTGCCCAGAGGAAACGTGTCCTTTTTTGATCTTTTCGTGTTTGTTTGTTCCGATGCTTGCCCTGACTCTTTTGATTTGGGGTCGAAAATCTTTAATTTTCAGTGCGCTTTTCCTTTAAAAGTACCGTGTGGGAAATTATGAAAAAGTCGTTGTAAAAATAGTCGTGGGAGTCTTTACGAGGGAACTCAACTGAGAGGGAGGAATAAAAAAAGGCAAATACATCAGAACAGAAATCACAAAACTCCTGCTAGTGGGCATCCTCCTGCTACTCTGATAATTTCCCCGAAATTGGAAAAGCAGCAGCTTCTGAACTTTGAGAGCGGTGAGCTGATATTTTCTGAATTCGCCACGGAAACATCTGTAACCTTCCTCTTTTGTATACATTGCCTGCTGGGCAAAGGATTTAAGCAAGCTTACAATTTTGTTTGCATTTGCCTTATTGACCACTGCACTTAAGGGTGCAGTACATCAACATAATATGCAGGTGGGGGCGGGGGGGGGGAGCCAGCAAAGAGAGGTTTTCCAGAAATTAATTAAAACTTTTTTTTCCCCCCCATTTGAAGTTTAATGTACGGGAGGAGATAAATGTTCGTGCCGTTTCTTGAAAACCTGTGGGATCCACTCTCAATAAAGCTAAAATCTATTAGCATTCTGTATGCATCTGCAGCATAAATTTCATTTGAATTTCAAATTTAATAAACCAGGAGGTTTTTAATCATCCCTGGTTTTATTTGTTTGATATTAACATGCTTATTGACCGGGTCTGTTGACCAGTTTGATCATTACAGGACAGCAAAAAGTTAATTAAAACGACCACAGCTCCTTAATCATATCATCTGTCTCATCCATGTCGCTCCCTTTATTACAGTCTATGATGGATAGTCTCCCAGATTAATTTCTCTGTTTCTTCGATTTGGACAACAGCTTTTGGGACCTAATTTACATCCTGGGAACAACTTGCTCAAGTCTACCTAACATCTTGAGTCTACAATGTAGATTAGCAATCTCGGAACTTTAGCCACAAAGATAGCTGTCGCTAACCTTTCGGGAAGGGGGGTGGATTTTCTTGGAGCAAACCCCAGTTCTCCGCGCTGCGACCGGCAAGCGGACAGAGATGGATAGACTCTTGTACCAGAGGTCCTCGCCTGTCTACAGACAGCGCTACCGGGGTGTAGAGGGGGGATTTCTCTTTGAGGAAACAGAGGTCTGTGCTATTTGAAAAGGCGTAGCTGGAAAGATTACACTGCAGGCTGACCACGCCGTGTGCTGGATGTCCGTGTTAGCGAGGGAAAGCGTTTCACGCCACCCTTGGGCCAATTTAGGGACACACGGGTGGGAGCCAGACTCTCCGGTCGCCTTACTGGCGGTGCGGCTCCGCTCCGCCGTCTGTCAAGCGTCCAGCGAGGAGGAAGCCTCGCTCCACAGCGTCCAGCAGCTCCCAGCTCCGCTCCCGTGGTCACGGGGGAAAGCCTCTAGGCGGGGGCCTTGTCCTCGCCGTCCCTGGGCTCAGTGCTCTGGAAAACACTGCGTTGCCCCCGTGTTTGCCCCACCGTCCCATACCTGCTGCCCTGGGTATGTGGGGGCCAGGTAGTGTCCCCTTCGCCCGACACCTTCACCTAGAATCTGTCACCTGGGAGATTGACGGAGGGGTGACAGACAACTCTCCAGGCTCACGAGAGTTCGGCTTGTTCGGGGAGCGGAGAAAGGGGAATGGGACGTAAACGAGACAAAACGGCCACCAGTCAGAAAGGACCGTGCTGGCGGTCACTGAGCAAAGAGGGTGGTTAATGTCTTTCTTTAACCTCTACCTGCACCTCTGCATTGCTGTGCTTTACCTGGAACGTTTTTCTCACTGCCTCACTGGGCACTTTCGTTGACACCGGGCACCGGGTGCAGCGCGGCGGGAGCGGACGGTGCGTGTGCGCCGGTGCCTCCACCTACTGCTATGTGGGCTTTTTCTTCCGTCTGTGTAAACGTGTCCCAGGTACCCGCCAACCCCGCCGAGGTTCCCGTCCCGCTGCCCGCAAAGCGTTTCCCAGCCTTGAGCGGCCTGACTGCTCCACTGCGCAGACGGGGAGGCGCCCGGCAGAGACCGGACTTCGGAGACGGAGAGGGTTTGGAGTCGCCCAGAGCGACTTTGGAGATAGAGAGGGTACACGCCGACCTGGCTGCAGCCGGCGGAGGGGATTCACTATTCACTTCAATGTCTTTCGTCGTTTGTTTATTTATTTATTTATTTTATTTTAATTTTGTCTGGATCTGTGGGGGAAAAAAAAAAAAAAAAAAAAAAAAAGGCAGCTAGCTGAGTCTCCGAAAGGTCCCTGTAATTAAATTAGCCCGGGAAAACACCGTGCACATGCTGTTGTGTGCATGCCTGGGGAGGGAGAGGAAGAGGCAGCTTCACACCCACTCTGTTTACATCGCCGGTGCGCGCCTAGATCCGCATCCGCATCTCCTCCTTCTTCTCCCCGTTTTTTCCCCTGCCCTCTCCCCTCCACCACCCCCACCCCCCGCTCTCCCGGTACGTTATCGCTGTGCACGCTCCGGCTCCTGGGCGGTCATGTAAGTACCGGGAGGCGCCGGCGGGGAGAGCGAGCGCCCGGGCTGAGCGCGCCGGCACCGGGCGGGGCAGAGCGCGGAGCTCCCGCCGCCGGTCCTTCGGTCCTGCCTGTTTAAGCTGTTTTCTGGTTTTTTCCTATTATATATCACCTTCTCCCAGGCACCACTTACAGTTAAAAACTACTAAATTCTTCTCCTCAGCGGTATTGATTTCTTTTCATTCTGCTCCGTTAGGAGAGGAGGTAATGCTTCCAGATTACCCCGCGTCTCCTCCAGACGGTTGACAATTGCAATCGCAGTTTCGGGAAGATAAATGTTACTTTGGGAATTGTGCTTAATTACAAATAATCTGGGAGCTGCTCTGGGTCCGATGGTTTAACCACACGTGTTCAAATCATAGTACAAGCTTTTCAAGAAGATGCCAAGATATAGTAAACGTTTGGAAAATCGGTGTGTAAGACAAGACGTTCCCATTAAATATGCTGCCTGAAGCTGGGTCACGCCCCGAAATACATGCTATTTATATATAAACATACAAATACATAAATATATATACACATGGCCGCCTGAGGATATGTGCGACTATATAGACGTGTGTGACAGACATTCGCATATGCAAATCCTAAAACACCCAAAATCGTAGCCTGCAGAGAACACAGAAGAGAAGGAAAGCTTTCTAAGCATGTATGTATGTATGTATGTGTGTATTTCTTTGTTCTCCCAACTGCACAGAAGTGTCAATTTAGAATAAAAAAATTAAACATTTTTGCTTGCTGCAGTTTGTGGAGTG